AATTTAGGCCAGTTTGCAAATCTACGCAACACGCTCTTTCCAATGAGACGTCAGTGGATAAAATCGGTTAAGAAATGGTGGAGGATTCAACCGACAAACTTCGTGTTCGCGTATTAATTATATAGATTTCATATGTGCATGAAATGTTGGTGTGAAACCAACTTGTATAACTTTAAGCTAAATGGTTTAAGTTACCTGGCTTCGTCAAGTGATCCTTCTTCAGTATTACACTACTATAGTTTCGGACTTGAAAATAAGTCCATCTTCATAAAACGTCAATAGGTCATCTAACCAAATTGGTTAGATGACCTATTGACGTTTTTGTTAACCTGAAGATGGACTTCCAGAGGCTACCTCACCATGTATACCTTTGAAGTAGAGGCTATATTTATTCCCAAAAGGTATCAAACGCCAGCTCCTGATCAAATCTTTTCTATCACTTTAAAGTTTGTTTCGTGTTTTTAGTCTTCACGTACAGAGACTTAAATCTTTGTATTAAATTGTTAGCAATCATAAATCGTGGACAGAATCTTCCACAAAAGATAAATACAATATAGTTCAACACCCTAGAACTCCTTAAAAAAAATATGTTTTGTTAAGGCTTCGTCATAATGTTAAAAATACTCAATACAACAAATTCATTAATTTTACATATGTAAACGTTGATAGTTGTGTGCGTATTGTATTTTAATATATCTTCTGTATACATCTAGTCCTCTATATTTTCTGTGTACACAAATGCTTCTGTATACACTTTTTTTGCAACTCACAGTAACTGAGAAATATTCTAAACTGGTGAACTGTTTTTATAAATTTTTGCCATTATTTCTCAACCCGTGCTTAAAAAATTAGTGACTCGTGGATAAATCCAGATACAAAATTTAATCTAAATCGGACCACAGGTTTTGTCTGTAGCTCTGTATCTGGATCATACAAGTGTGTATTATATAACCTGATATTAGTCAAAATATGTTTTATTCTATAACGTTTAATTTAATTAAACATAAAAGTCATGCTCCCTCCATTTTTAAAGTATTCAGTCCAAAAATGTAATAAATTTACTTGTGCATACATATTTATTTCGTTTTAATAAATAATTGAGGTGATGCAATACACTTATGTAGGCAGTCGCAGCAGTCGAATCCGGGCATAGCGCCTAAAGTTTCACGAACGCAAACCGCGCAACGAGTAGCTAAATGAGCCGTAGAGTAAGTGAGCCATCTAATATTTTGAAGAGGGTTCACTTACTCTACGGATCATAGTGCCAATGAACTGTAGAGTAAGTGAGCCATCTAATATTTTTCTGCAGGCTCGTATAGTATACGAGCCTATTCCTATAATTTATATTATTCATTATTTTGGCTCGTATACTATACGAGCCGATTCCTAAATTATCAAATAATTCGTAAGCTTGGCTCATAGTCACTATGATCTGTAGAGTAAGCGAACCTTCCTACTGTATTTTTAAATATAATACACGAGGCTCATAGGCACAATGATTCGTAGAGTAAGTGAACCCTCTTCATTTATTTTTTATTTTCGATAGGCTCGTATAGTATACGAGCCTGTAGTGCAAGTGAACCTTCAATATTATTTAAAAAGCTCGTATAGTCTATGATCTGTAGAGTAAGTGAGCTGTCCCCCACGCTGGCAACAAGGTTTTACCATAGACTAACCAACACAAGTAGACTTCTCATCCCATTGTAAATTTTGAAGCTCGTTTTTCATGTCTAGTTAATGTACGCCACACTGGGCGCTAGTGTCGACGTAATTTTGTTTCTATTATTTTAGGGGTAATTTCTTGATTTGTGCTTTACTGTTTGGTTGAATAACTAGGGGACAATTTATTGTTTATGATTAGCTCGTATTATTTGGTTAAACGAGGTTTTAAATGACTGTATTAACGGGAAACAAATTGTAAACAAAACACGACCTCTAACATAAACCGTACAGAACTAACAATAAAATTGTCTTCAGCTGTTCCATTAGGATGAGAAATCTACTAAGGGAGTATGTTTTATCTATGGTTTTACCCCTTTGTTGGGGCACCGGAATTTTACCCCATATAGGCAAAGCTGACGTCACTATGACGTAGTAACCTGAGCACTCACTGAGCAAGTTTGTTCGTGGGCGGAATTTTACACCCTCATTTAGGAAACTGTAGATGTACACGGCTCGGATTTTAACCCCCAGATTTTTACCCCCCGGAATTTTAACCCCAGATTTTTACTCCCTGTGCATATATAGAAATTAGTGATATTAGGTAATTAATTTTCTTATTTCAGTTTTAATTGAATGATAAACATTTTAATTAGCCTCACTGAATTTATTTGTAACCTCAACAAAGTAAACAGGTTTCGTTGTTATAAGTAGTCATAAGTTCTTTAATTCCAGAATTACAAAATTACATTGCATTGAAATAGTCAAGTTTAAAATTGAAATGTACAAAAGATAAAATTTTGAAAACTCTACTAACTAAAACAATTTGACCTTCTAGTAAATCTTCCAGGCAGAAATCACTGACTACATGTCAGGGAAAAATCACGGACTCTGTAAACTGTAGCAAAGCAAGCCTTTTCGACCAAAATGTTTTTTTAAGTTTACTCCTAAACCTGCGCAGATCAGTCTCCAGCTTTAGGTTTAGATATGGAGGAAGTTGGTTGAAAAGCTTAATTCCATTGTACATAAGGCGATGTTGGAAAAATGAAGTTGAATGGACGGGAATTTTTAAGTAGGGTGCGTAAGGTATATGCACTTGGAGTTAATGTTTGTGTTAAATAATGACTGATTTTTTTACAAATTCTCAAGGATGTGTAGTGAAGGAAGAGTCAATATTGCAGCTGACCTAAATGATCCCTTACAAGATCGTCTTCTGATTTTTGAGATTAGAATATGCCTATATACAATCGGGAATGTGAGCTGTCATCATGCCAAATTTCAGCCCAATCCGTCTAGTAGTTTATGCGTGATTGAACTTCAAACAAACTAACACACAAACTTTCACATCTATATAATTACTGGCTGTAACCCGCGGGCTTTGCCCCGTTTAACTTATTAATTTTCAAGATGATCTCGTTCGCATGGCTCAATCACGTCCTGGTTGAAGTTCGTTCACTACGCTCACTCACCTTTAGGTTGGAGCTCGTTCGCTACGCTCACTCACCTTTTGGTTGCAAATTAGCTGTTGTCATAAATGTAAAAGAAATAATAGTGCTGCACCCTGTTGGTAATCCTTGTAACTTTAATACTATTGAACATCATAGAATAGAACCAACTTGTTTAATTGAAACAGCTGTTAAGATTCATTAATTCCATTTCTCATAAGGTTAACATGGGAAACTCCAGAGCCACTGGGGCGGAGCCAATTGGACGGATCACGAAATTGATGGTGTAGAAACCTATTCCATGACATTCTACACGTATGTACCAAGTTTCGTGGCAATCGGTTCAGCGGTGTCTGAGTTTATCACTGCCAAACAAACAAACAAATATATATAGGTACAAACATCCTCTTTTATACTTATAGATTATGCTACATAAAACTTTGTCGGGTGAACTCCTCCGCTATTTCTTAACCAATTTTATTAATTGACGTCTCATTAGAAAGAGCGTGTTCTCATTAGAAAGAGCGTGTCGCGTAAATTTGCAAACTGACCTTACATTTTTGAAAAAGTCCCTTGGGCTCTGCCCCAGTGGCTGTAAAAGTTCCCATGTTATCCTTATGAAGAACATAATTGTTTACATTTTGATCAGCTGTATAATTTAATTGGTGTTATTTATTTTTCAAAAGTCTTTTAAACTTATAGGAAATTATGATGACTTTTATTTGTTTCTAAATAACTACTTAACTTCTTTGCAATTGCTCGATTTCGAGCAACGTGTTTACTAGTTTACAATATTAGTAAGATGATAACACTCAAAATCTAAAATATGTTAGCAGTTTTGAAAAAAAACTGCTAAAATCCTCAATTTCAAAAGTTTTGAATCTCAAAACTCGCCAATCGAATCTCAAAACCGAAACTTTCCCAAAGTGTTGATGGTTTTGAGATTTGGATAGACACACCACTATTCTAAATCATCTATTCGACGAGTCCAATGCAGGTGTTCCACAAGGATTAATATTTGGCCCTGTATTGTTCAATCTATACATAGCTGACATCCCTCTTCCAGAAGACGCCTCATTGGTTCTGAACGTTGATGACACTGCTATCCTGTGCCAACATTCCGATATCCACGAGGCCACATATTCTCTGCAATATTCTGTGGACGTTTACATTGATTGGTTCTACAAATGGAAGTTTCACCTAAATGTGACACCAAAATATTTTCCTTGAAAAAACATACATCACCACATGAAATTCAAATTTATGAATTTGAACAGATGGTGTTTTTGGCCTCTGGGGACCTCAAAACAAAAATGTTAGTATAAAATTGATTGTAAAATTTGTACCGGACAAGAAAGCGAGCTAATAAAAACGTTTTAAAAATTAAATCGGTCCCGGGCCCAGGTCTCACCATGAGACATACGGTAAATAGTTTATTCCCTACATGGGAAATTCGCTAAAAGAGCCTAAGAACCCCATTTTATGGCTCAGTGAGAGTTATGGGTTGGGTCTTTTTAAGAAGAGGGCCACCACTATTTAAACTGTGGATAACCCACAGGTTAGGTTAGGTTGGATAAGGTTAGTTTATCGCTTTACCCACACGGTTTTTTTATTTACTGAACAGAAATAATAACAAAAACCATTAAGCCTTTTTTCCTTTTTTAGGGGGCTAATAAACTTATATCTCTTCAGATTGTGTCAAACAGATTATTCTCTTTAATTCTACGGTGCCACATGAATTCACAGATAAAAGAATGCAATCGATTTCTCTTAATACCAGGTAATCATTTGAAAACAATTTAATTAGTCTAGGGAAACAATAGTGGCGGCTTTCTTCTGAAAAATACCCGTGACCGTATTTAGAAGGGATAATGTATTTGAAATAAATGGCAGAGATTTCACCTTGAAATAGACATATCTAAAACCAACATTTTAATGACAATAATAATACAGGTCACAAAGAGTGAGGGTTATTATATTAAACACAATTGATTAATGTGTGCAAAAATATCCAAAGGACCTACATCAGAAGTACAAAAATCATAGTACAAATTAACAATAAAATAACACTAAGTATTGAAAATGCTTTATCATTACAGTTACTTGCTAGGGCTGGATTGAAAGTCGCATAATAGGAACTTATTGTGCATGATCACAAATATCAGGAGACTTTGGACGTAAAATAAAAAAAATAAAAAAAATGGTAATTGCATGTAAAGGATATTAATTTAGATTTCCAAAAGAAAAATGATTTCTAAGATATTCATTTATTATTTAGCTTAATAAATTTTTATGAAACCGATTGCAATTGAAATATTTTTATCAATAATCTGATTAATGATTTTTTTCTAGAATAATCTTTTTCTAATCTACCAAATTGAAAATTCAATATAATCAAATTTAACTAAACATTTAGTCTACATTTTAAAAAGTAGTTGTAGGTAAACACAACAGCAAAATAAACAAAAATACTATTATTTATGTCTATGTATGAAGATTATTTAATTGGTATGGTACAAGGTAAAATCTTTTATTTTTACAATATTAAACATGAATATCCTACATAATCCCCTGATAAAGAACCCGGATGTTGGCAGGTACATTACTACACAATTTGTTCAGTTCCGTACACAGTTTCAATTTCCGTTACACAGATGGCAGTGTTGTATCATGACGAACTGCTGTTGTCTCCGTTGTCGTGAAATGTGTTTCCGTTCACAACAAACGAAGTACCCAGCCCATACAGGTGGCCACAATATTTCTGATCATCGATGTTGTCTTCAAAAAACATCTGGAGTGAAAAATGACTGATTAAAAATCTTTCATTAGTTTATAATTACTGCTAAATGATATAAATATTCAGCTATTGTGTTAAACTGTAGGTCCCTTAGTTGCCATTAGCTGTATGGGCTTTTAATTAACAGCTGTGTCTAAGGAATGTCGGCCTTAGTCACTAACATGACTACAAGATCACGCTACTCATCCTACACTCATATCCATTCATACTTGGCTTAAAATACCTACTTTGTATGGTCGCCATTTAATAAGAAAGTATTAATATTTCAATTATTCAAAAGACCCTAGACGGTTGATGTTATAATAAGTATATTTTGGCAAGCAAATTTTCTGTGCCACTTGGTTGTAGTAGCTTACCTTTGCCATCAGGATAAGCCAACTTTAACTTGATCCCTTCTAGTTTACTTTACTTCCAAGGTTCCAAGGTACTGGCAACCTTCACAAACAGTCTCATTTTCTACCTACTACCTACATACTTTCTTTCGGTTCAGCCAAAATAATTTAAATACAGTGGAATTTTGATTATACGGAATAGTTATAAAATGCATAATAAACATACAAAAAACACTGTATAAACATGAATGTCATCACTTGAATTTTTACATCAATAAAATGACAACATTGCACAATCATAGCTAATAACTGTGTAACTATGATATTTTGAGTCATTGACCTTGGTTTAGGCATACTAACTGTAACGTTTAAAATAACAGCTTACTCAAACTTAATAAATAAAATTATTCAAACAAAGTACAGCAACAAATAATGCAATGAACAAAACAGCTCCTGTAAGCTTTTGCTGATTAAGACTACTAGAACTTGCTGTTTCAGAACTGGGGCATGGGAATGGTAATACAGTAGACTCTTGATAATTCGAAATTGGTGGGCCAAGCATATAAATTTGAATTATCAAGAGTTTTGAATTATCAAGAGTTTGATTTATCGGGAGAAAAATAAACCATTTGAATTACAGAGAGTTCATTTGTTTAATACATACAAAGGTACAGCACGTTACAACCAATAAAACATCATACCGTATTTTAGTACACTTTTAAACAATCAACGGCTTATTTTTCAGTTACTGTAGTTGCAAAGAAATCTGTTATTTAGCGCTATATATTTCGCCAATAGCTGAACTATCAGCTGTCGACAACTACGTTTGTACTCAAGGAGATGTCGCGCAATCTAGAGATCGGATTCCCAACTTAGAAAAACAAGTCAGCGAACTAACTCTGACTACTGCTCTAACTAAACAAACATCAAAACGTCCAACACTAGCCTACCATGGGAACAGGATGTACTGTACTGTATAGTTTCCTGTTATAACAGGAAGAGATCACTTCGAATTATAGAGTGTTTTGCCGACTAAACTTCGAATTACTGTGTGACTTTGATTTATAGAGTGTTTTTTCGACTAAACTTCAAATTACAGCATGACTTCGAATTATAGAGTGTTTTTCCGACGAAACTTCGAATTACTGCGTGTTACAAATTGACCTGCCCTCTATTTGGACTTTGAAATACCGAGTGTATCAAAATGCATGGTAAAAATTTGAAATATTGAGAGATTCTCTAGGGACTGAGCCTTCATTTTGAATTATCAAAAGTTTTGAATTATCAAGTGTTTGAATTACCAAGAGTGGACTGTAATCAACTAGCATTGATGTTCCTGTGATGGAAAACATACCATATTGAAAATAGTAAAAATATTTGATGACCTTTCTAAACAACTTAATAACTCTAAATTCATATTTTATTTTGATAATAACAACACTTAATAAAAAGAAGATAAAACCGAGTTATTCTTCCTCTTTGATCTCCTTTTCTCTTTTTGGTTCGTTTCTCTTCTTCCAAACATTCAACAAGTTATCATGGTTACTGATCACCCAATCACAGGCTACTGAGGCTACTGAGAGTTATGTCATAATCAGTTGCAAACTATTGAAATCTCACACAGCAAATGATATGAATGATAAGAAGCAGACAATTTTCAGCACACGTGTTGACTCATCTTTGAGCTATGATAGATAATTAATCCATTGTTCTGCTTCCAATTTATTTGCCCCAAATGAACTGTGATGTCTCAAAAACAATTATATGGGAGCCTACTGCATATCAATAATGGACCGAAACAGTTTGAATATACAATTAATTTTAACACACTAAAACTTAAAAATAACAAATAAACAAATGTTTTTGGTATTTAATTTTGTAAAATAGATTTTTAAATTAATACAAATTTTTACAAAAAATTCTGAAACCTGTTTGGATCAAGTGGACATTTGGATTACCTGTGTTCGGACTAAAGGAACTCAACTGTACTTTAAATTTAAATACAATAAAACTTTAATCGTGAAAATAAGTTAATAAATACAAAAAAGTTTCGGCAATGTCAAATAAATAAAATATCAAAATGGCGGCCATTAAAATTTCTCAAGTCATATTCTGTAGAAACTATATTTAACTTATATTTAAATGTTAAATACTGTTGATGATTCTAAAGACGCCTTATCAGAAACTTGATACGGTCAGTTATCTGTCAATTCCAGGAGGTACTCCTAGGTTTGATAAGTGGAAGTCATCAGGAGATTAGACTTCATCAGACATTATATATTAAACATGCAAAACTTATTTTAGACATGGCGTGGCCTGGTTACATACCTCTCGCATCTTGAAGAATGCCATTCCTGTGAGCAGAGAATCACTGCCTGCTTGGTGTTGTGGTCCAACCCGCTGCAACTCTAGCTGATCTGCGACCTCTTGCAGTCCACCCTTCAGGTTCTTACAACTCTTCATTAAATACTAAAACATTAAAATACAGTTTGTAAAACACTAAAGACATTAGGACATAGCAATCTTGATACAAACTAGGGATGGAGGAAATTGGATTTTTTGTTCGAGACGAGACGGAATTTTTTATTTCTCACAAAATTTTTAGACGAGATTGAGACAAGATTTCCCTTCTCATACCTTATGGTATGCATTTCCCTTCTTATGGGAAATGCACATTTGGCATTTTAACCTGATTTTGTAACATTGTTAAATAGATACTCATGTTTTTTCCCACCGTCGCGGGATGGAGACCTTTAATTTGAGCCCTCCCCCGTCGTTCTACAACATCCCAGTCGCCCACAATTTTGACGCAAAGAATCGCCTTATGCGCCTTATTCATATATAGATTACAATGAACTTTGGAACTAGTAAAAATAAAAACGGTCATCTAATGTTGTTGATATCTTATTTACATTGATGAAATTTGTGGGCCTTAAATTAACAATAATACAACTTTTTTTACAAAAGGTAATAAAGATTTCTATTATTTTATTTTTGCTTACTGGTATAGTTTACATAATGAGCTGCAGGTTAAGATTCCTGACAAAGGTTGAATAGTTATGGTAAACCATAGGCCTTTTAATGCAAAAAATGTTAAAACAATATAGACAATTTCTTGCATCAATACAGTACTCTGTGATTATTTTTACCTATTGACTTTAAAGGTAAGTTTTCCAACTAAATAAACATTCAATAGGCCTAAGCTTTTAATTTGAAAATTAAATTTTATTTGTAAAGTATTTTCATACATGCATCAACCCCAATAAGCTGGTGGCCCTAGCTTTAAAGAAAGATATTTTTTTGTTTCTGAAACCAAAGGCTGATGTATAGCTATTTTATGTAATAGATTTAAAGAAACAATTTTTCTCTTTAGCGTTTTCTCCGTTGCAAAGCACGTGTAAAGCAGCTAGTATTTTATAAAACAAAATTGTTCCTTATTCTAACTAATTGCATGTTATTTATTACGTATATTGGTGTTATGAGCTAATCATAGTTTTTGTGATTACCTTTACATCGTATACTACAGGAAAGTATAACCTCAGAAGTTCAAAGAATTCTCCTTCGTCCTGCGGAAGATTGGAGTCCGTCAGAAGTTTTAGGAGGTATCCAAAGTCGTAACCACTAAAATGTAAAAATATCTCAAGTTTGGCATTAAATTTGTTATTTTATTAGTGTAACAATGAACTGCAAAAGTGCTTCAACTCAGTAGACCCCACACCTTAACCAACCTTACATTACCGATAATCGGATTATCCGCCCTCACTAGCAAAATATCACAGTTTGTTTTAACCGACTATTTTTTAGGGCAGTCCGGTTTAACCCCCGCTTTTTTAGGAATCTCGTCATTTCCGCTCCCACGCTCAGCAATGGGAACAATATGCTAAGCTCCAGGATGTTCAGGCTATAAATAAACATACTGTCTCGTAACAAAATGGTTGCTTGTATATCTTTTATTTCAACAATAAGTTCTGTACTGTATTACGATGGATTTTGAAAGCATAATTTAATATTGCCATAGACTAAGCAATACAAGTAGACTTTTCATTCCAATCTAAATTTGGAAGCTTGTTTTTTGTGTCTAGTTCCTGTACGTTGACACTGATTGCTAGTGTAGAAAAAATTTTGTTTCTTTTATTTTAGGGTTATTTTCATGATTTGTGCTTAACTGTTTGGTCATATAACTAGTAAACCAGTTATTGTTTATGAATAGATCGTTTTATTTGGGAGGTTTTAAATTACTCAAATACATGAAACAAATTGTAAACAAAACACGACCTCTACAGAGCGGGGTACAGAACTAACAGTAAAATTGGCTTCAGCTGTTCCATAAGGATGACAAATCGGCTGCACTTTAGTTTACGTCCTACACTCATTCGAATGAAAAATATCGATATAAAGATTGTTCGATATATCGATTATTTCTTTCGGTTAGTTAGGTTAGGTTTAGTTTTAACCTAACTAACCAAACTTTATATATCAAATTAAATTATCGATATATTGATCGATATATTCATTGGAATGAGTGTAGGACGTAAACTTAAGTGCAGCCGACAAATCTACTAAGGGAGTTTAGTTTTATCTATGATATTACTAATGGTACTAAAATAAGAATTTTGACTGACTCTTGTCTATGAATATAAATATAATTTATTCCACTAAAAATATTTGATTTAACCGTGTTTTGGGGTTATTATTTGTGACTTTTGTGTCGTCGATACTCAAGACAAAAGGAGATAAGTGTAGTTTATTTTGGAAATGATGCACGCACAGCTTCAGAATGATGACTTTATAATTCGAAATGAATAGCAGTTCATTTTTTAAAAGTTTTTAGTGGTTGCCTGTTTAACCGACCTTTTGAGATATTCGACCAAGCTCCAGTCCTGTTAGGGTCGGTTAAGAGGTGTCTACCATATATAAGTACTATTAATAATTGCCAGCCGAACTTTTTTTCAAGGTTGTAGGCTATTCGCCCACCCACAAGAATCTTATGCTCGAGTTTGGAACATACAATCAAAGAAATATAATTTATATTGTCATAACTACCATAGTTTCAAAGTTTGTAACACCTAACATAATAGGTTTATCAATAATTACAAGCATTCATAGGAAATCTTCATACAGAGGGTTTTGCAGTCGGTGTCATGAGAATCAAAGAATCCATTGTGGTTTTTGGCGTCAACCAAATCATCAATTGTAGATTGCTGCCAGTCATTTTGCCTGCGGGATGTCTCTTCGCAGTAAGGACAATAGCAGCAATCTACAAAATGATGACCCAAAAGACCACCATGAATTCATTCATACAAAGTATTTCCAAGCCCAAAAACAGTTTTTTGTGGTTCATTAAATTAATCCTCCTTTAGTTACATTGGTTTTGAGAAGTTTACAAAATGATGGCACAAAAGACCACCTTGAATTCATACAAAGTCTTTCCAAGCCCCAAAAAAAATTGTTGTGGTTCATTAAATTAATCCTCCTTTAGTTTAAGTGATTTTGAGAAGTTTTCAAAATGATGACACAAAAGACCACCATGAATTCATACAAAGTCTTTCCAAGCCCCAAAAAAATGTTTGTGGTTCATTAAATTTATCCTCCTTTAGTTTAAGTGATTTTGAGAAGTTTTCAAAATGATGACACAAAAGACCACCATGAATTCATACAAAGTCTTTCCAAGCCCAAAAACAGTTTTCATGGTTCATTAAATTAATCCTCCTTTAGTTTCATTGATTTTGAGAAGTCATTTCTTGTGCCCGGTGATCACCTACAGTTGCCATTTTACACAAATAGGCCCTAAATAGATACGCTAAATCACCTATATTCACTTCTCATCCCGTATTCTTTTAAATCACATTTCTGCAGTTGAGTTGAACATGTTTTAGTCGATTACAACAATGTGTAAAATATGAAATAACATCTCAAATGAAATTACTTGTACCGCAAATGAAGACGGCCTAAAAATGCATAACTAATGACTGACGTAAAAATGCAGAAGTGTAGGAAGGTCTAAACAATATGTTTATGGGATGAAATGAAATACATGTATGTACCACTACTTAGCACTCAAAAACTACATTTCCCAGACACAACTATTATGATGCAAGCAATAAAGGCTTGTGACAAATGTTTTCAGTCTATTAAGACTAGACTTGCCTGTGAAATGACAGCCACTTGATATTATCCATCAGCACAACTCCTGAAGTCATCAGAAGAGCTGCAAACTCAAATGGGTCGATGCCGTCCTCTTCATGTTTTTTGAATTGGATTCCAGAGTTTTGCAGCAAATCTATACTATCTTGCGCGTACATATCTTCCCTGAGACATAGTTTGCAGTGTAGATAATACATTAGTTAAAAACTAAATTACTAGGTTTACATTTTTAAAGATCAGATGATTGACTTAGGCCCGGTTTCCCCAACTCATTTAAACTTAGTTTTAAGTTAAACAGCGATTTAAACTTAGTTTAACTTTGATTTGTGTTTCCCCAAATTTAATCTAGGTATTAATCTAAGTTCAAACTAAACCACCTCTCGACTTGGTTTAACTACTTGGGATAAAATAAACTGAGTTCCAATTAGTAAGTTACAACAGCAACATAACCTCAAATCAAAACAAAAAGTAGGTGTTAAAACAATAATAATTGAAGCAACTACAAATTCATTTGGATGAAAATAGGCTTGGTTTAGGGTTAGCTTAGAGAGGGCCTACTAAATAAGGGACAGAATTGACCATTTCAATGAATGGAATGAATCAGGAATTTGACAACAACTTATAATAACTTGATAACATAACCTTAAACAGTGATGTTATTCTAGCTGCATTCACACTTTGATCGTCTGCTCTACTGAGTTGTAGCGTAGCGTAGCGAGCGTTGTAAGAAACACTAGCCCAAAGCCCACCGAAGATTCCTTACAAATAAACATTCAGGATTGCCAACCCCTCGAATTGCCGTTTATCTTAAACGAAGCCAGTAAAATGTTGGAGAAACCGAACACACGTTTTAAACGGAGTTTAAAAATAAACTAGTTTATTATAAACGTAGTTTACACCATTTTGGGGAAACCGGGCCTTAATAGATCTAAAGTTTTAAACCACAAAACTATTAAAACTCAATTTGATTGTTTATTGAAAGCTGAACTGCATTCAAAAGTTCTAACTTACAATTTTTGAGTTTTTTAAAGAAAAGATATAAGCGTAATGGCTTTTTGTTAGCAATAACAGAAACAGGTTCATTGCAGCAGTTCAAAAGTGTGTATTTTATAACATCTAATTCATCATGACTATAATCCGCGATTTAATCATTACTCACAATGGCGACTAAATAGCTGACAGTTGAGAAAAATCCTGCCCTGAGAAAATCCTTACAGTACGGTAGTTGGGCATATTCAAAATTTTGATAGTCAAACAAATATTTATTACAGTATGCAAGTCTGACTAATAATAATGGTTATATACGAAGATTCAAATAGTTGATACACCTGAAATGACAGTGAAAAAATCATATCACTTGTATTGTTTTATTTTGTGCATGAATCTGATAAATAACCCAAAACTTCATAATTATTTGGGAGAAATATCAACACAAGTGTTACCTCAAAATAAAACTAATCTAAACTCCACAAGCCCATAGCGAAGGATCATTTTATGGTTGTATGCTTTTTTAGTTTTTTTTTCTCCTGCAAAACGATACTACTAAGTTACTTACTGGAATTATTATTAGGTATTTAATTTGATTTAATTTAAAAATTACTACTGTTACACCCTTAACAAACAGTTAAAAAACTATTTAGCCGACTTAAAATTAACCTATTTTATAACGTTTATTTAGCTAACTCACGACAGGTTGAATTTAAAGTTGAACTGCCATGTGGTGTAGCCTGGTGGTGTCTTGCCACTGTCGTCCAGGAAAGTGAGGCCCAACTGGATTATCCGCAGCAAGTCCACGTTACACCGCAGAAGTTGGTACTGGTAATCTGCAGTGCTGCGGAACTCTCCGATAGGCCGAGCCACGACTCCTGGAAACTCTGTGTCCTATAAATAATTGTGGCTGTTTAAGATTGTTTTATTATTACCTATATTTTCTTGTAGCCTTGATCAGGCAACAAAGCAAGTTTCTCATTTAGGTTTTGAAATTCGGGATTCGATTTTAACAGTTTCGGTTTTGGTTTTGAGATTCAACATTTTTTGCTTCAACCATCAATAGAATCTTGCCAACTACTGACTGTGGTCTTCACATAATAAAGGTCTAGCTACATAGGCTTATTGTGTAATGTACTTTTAGGCAGATTCTCATCTTGACAATAAGGTACTGTTGCATAGATCTTTAAGGACGGATGCCTTGGCGATCCAGTGCTAAGCTAATCTTGATTACATTCCTGATCAATCTAGTCTCAGGAGAAATCCTTTATTAGGGACAAAATATCAGTGTTGTGTTTCAAAACCTTTTACAGTGTATCCTATCAGCCCCTGGAATGTAATTTCCTCAATAAGTTAAGAACTGTAGCTAATAAATATATAATGTACATTGATTAATTCTTTCACAATCGATTGTTAACTCCGAACTACCATAATTTGTGTTGTCCAAGATGTTTTACGGAAATACTAGAGGTCGTTCAGTGGTCAAAAAGTCAACCGAAAATATGTAATGTACAGACTTCTCTATTTTCACCCCACGCTGTAAATAAAACATGTGATTGGAATTTCTTCTATTGGTTTTGATTTTCTGTTTATATTTAGTTATTTCCTCACCAGCATGGCAACCCATAAGACCCTGTTATTTTTTAAATTTTAAATTCATTGTTGTGCTCATTTTTTTTGCCTATTTTAATTTATAATGGGATTTTGCACTTCTACAGGGAAAATATCTTCCTAACAGTAGCCTATGCGTAGATTTTCCCTGCGATGCATACGGGCTGAGAAAAAAAGATTTCAAGAAACATGCTTGCCTATTAACATATAGGATGGTAAAAATTAGGAATGTGTCAATTTTTTATACGACCGATACTTGTACATTGGTATCTGTATTGAGAATCTATCGTCGATTACGATACCGATTGGAAAATTACCGCCATTGCCGCGATCAGGAATGATGATAATGACGTTTCCATGACCTCGGGAGTCAATGACGATGTCTCCACAGCCACATCGTCAGGAGGGTGTTGATGATTTTGCTGCAAACGTGGAAGACGACGATGACGTGTCCGTGATAGCGGGAGATGATGATGATGATGTCTTGATGACTTTGAGAGATGTTCGTGATTTGGCGGCGACCGCAGGAGACATTGATAATGTCCACATAACCGTGAAAGATGTTTATGATTATGCTGCTATTGCAGAAGACTATGTTTATCATCAAGAAGATGATGTTTATAGGACCACGAGTAACGAGAATGATGTCTATCGTCTACACGACCGCCTGAGATGATCCGAATTTAGACGTGATAGAGGGAGACATTAATAACATTTCCGTGACCACAGAAGACAATGATAGTGTTTCTGTTACCTCTAAATGATATAGGGATGGACAAGTCCCGAAATTTTGGAAAATTTTCGGGAAAAAAATATTCCCAATTTTCGGGACGGGATTAAATTTGATTCGGGAACTTTTCGGGACGGGATTTGACCCGATCGTCGGTGATTTTGCCGCTACGCATGTGACGACAACGCCGCTATCGCAAAAGATGTTCTCGATAGTTCCGCGAACGCAGGAGGCGTAGTCATTTCGACGATCGCATTTACTCTCGGCATTTCAAGCAAGCCGTCCTGCCTAGTACAGCGTTCCCTAACTGATGTTCGAGGCATAAGTTTCCCTTTCAAATAGGGAGGCAAATTAGAATACAGTGTCTTGTGAACAATTAAAAAAGTTTGTAGAAAACATTGTTTTTCCAAAGAGAGTAGCCTGTTTGCGATAGGCAGATATATGATCAAACTTCCTCAGAATGAAGACAAACCTTAGGGCTCGGTTTGGCAACCTCGTAAGAAGAACTCTACTGTCGAGAGTAAGGCATTCACCAAACGATGGAAGTCCATAGTGAATAATAGGGAAGACTGTTGATTTGATCAATTCCAGCTTAGCATTTTTAGATAGTATCCCTCTCAAACGGTGTAAAATTCTCAACCTATTTGAAACTCTCTGACAAATGTAACTAACATGTGAGCGAAAATTGAGTTGAAAATCAAAACTCTGACAAATGTAACTAACATGTGAGCGAAAATTGAGTTGAAAATCAATTCTGATACCTAACACCTTAACAGAATCAGACACCTCAAGAATTTGACCGTCCAGCTCTACCTTTCCAACAAGACTATTTTTAGGCTGCAAAATAGAAGACCAGAAATGAAGCACAGTTTCAGGATTCAATTTTAGACCGTGATCGTCAGACCATTGCTTTACCCTTAGCAAAGTCAGTATTGATGAGATTGACTGCTTCATGAAAATCAAAAGGGGCGTGGGAAAGAACTAATTGACAATCATTAGCGTAGCAATGTAAAGTGGAGAATTTCAGAATGCTATCGAAGTCATGAGTATACAATATGAAAAGTATTGGACAAGTTCCCTGAGGGACCCCTATCTCTCTTTGAATTAACTCAGAGCACCTACCATTCACCTTAGTCACCTGGGATCGGTGACAAAGATATGAGGAAAAGCATTTGAGTGGACTCTAATGGAATTTTAGAAACCTGAGCTTTGATATGAGCATGTCGTGATGAACAGAGTCGAAAGCATTTGAATAATCAAGTGTCGCCATAAAGCTGTGCAACCCTTAGTCCTTGGCCTGAAGAAGCTCATCAGTCATATTGAGAAGAGCAGTGCAGGTGCTGAACCCTCTGCGGAAACCCGACTGTGATTCTAAAAGTATGTCCGACTCCTCCAGATAACTTACCAACTGTTCCACAACGATTTTCTCTAAGATTTTCAAACAGGCAGGCAAAATTGATATTGGTCGGAAGTGCCTGCTCGTGGTTGGATAAGAACACTTTGGGAGCGGAATCACAATGCTTTGCTTCCAACTACCAGGGAAAACTCCAGTCTCTAGTGACACATTAATCAGATGAGTTATTGCTGATCGAGACAATAAGGGCTAACACCTTTCAACATATCAATTGATATGCCATCGATACCAGATGCCTTTGAACGTATTTCGTATTTTATTCATAGTTTCTATAACCTGCTCTTTGGTGACAGCACTAAATCTGAATGCGTTTAGTTTATTAAGAAGTACTGAAAATAACTTCTACTCATTTAGATTCTAGCTAACAAATAGATAATATACTCGTTAGTAGTTTTGGAGTTTAAATGGTTGGATTTTTGGACAGGTGGATGTACCTCAAAAATGAGTTTTTTTTGCGGGATCGGTAAGGTTCAGCGCTTGTTGACAAACAACGCGGGGGGATGGGGAAAGGGAAAGTCCAGCAGTTGCTTTGGAATTTGGTATGCATTTTTACTATGGGGGGAGGCAGTGGCCAAGGGGTGGGAAGGGGGAATGTTAGTTTGGTGATTTGTCATCTCAAAAAATTGTCTTCAGTTGATGTTCATTCTCTGACAAGTATGAGAAGTATTTTTTTCTGTGGTAGCAACCTTAACCTGTGATCCTTAACTCTCAATTAACCGGGATAAAGAAGGGTTGAGGCATCCTGTATACGTAAAATCACGGTTAATCTACAAAATACTATTGAGTGTGTATTGAAATACAATACAGTATTAAATTATGATAATTAACATGTTAATATTGCAGTAAAACATAACTGAATGTTATGTTTGACAGAAATCACAATGAATAACACACGCATTTGATCACAATGACACTGTAAATACAAAGAAGTTCTGGTCTAAGGACCAAATAAAATATTTACAAGACACAAACTACCGTGAATAAATTCTTTTGAAAATAATCTGTAACATTTTCTGTTTTTGAAAAATAGTTATTTGTGTAACTAGTGAGCAAAGTGGCACTTTGCTGCACACGAGAGCACGGCTCGTGCGGAATGATCTCGAGTGCAGCAAAGGCCTTTTGCACTCGTGTTACACATTATATTTTTCCTAATGTCACTATATAGCATATAAATAATTAGTCTTTCAAACACCATACAACACGTTTTTAGGTTCAGCTGGCAACACAAATAGGTGCCCTAGAGAAAGTAGTCACCGGTCTGTATCACTCCCCTACTTTTTCCTCGGCAAGCAATGTGCTCCGCGACTTGAGAAAATAGTTGCGTATGTTTTTGTAATTTGCAGTGGTTTCCGCTCCTAAAAAAATGCTTTAAAAGTATTTTCTTGTTTATTAAGATTGTAGGAATGTTTTAAAAACTTTTATAAGAAAAGTCCAGAAAGTTCAGAAATACCGAAAAGAGAACATAAACTATAAACACGAAATGACAGGTTAAATCGTAGTTATAATAGTCAATCAGCTGCTCATTATTTTTTTACTCTACTTTCATGTTTTGTTACACAATTTTGTCTGCAATAATTGGAGCATTGTATAGCAAACTGGGTAAAAGGGGAGGGCCTTTGACCTTGAGTAGTCTTTGACCAGGCCTGGGCATGGCTGGTGACAGTGATTTATTATTTATTGGTATGTTTACATGTTAACTGCCCTTCCTACCCAGAAATAGACACTGAGGTTTTGAAAACATTGACTTAGTTTAAAAACATTGACTTGTGTTGGTAATTAAGACCGTCTGTCTGCATTTAATTTTACTTATTTTTCCTGGAACGTATCCTGGTTAAGTGCACATGCTTTAAGCTTTCTTAGTTGTTATATTTTAGTGATGGTTAAGTAATATTTTTAATAAGTTAATAAGGTAATGGGACAATGTTTAAACACAATTAGTTACCAAGATGACGTGTCATTATTTAATTTCATATGAAATCCTTTAAAACAACTGCCCAACAAACAGCAAACTTCTCCGAAAACTAACTTTATTTTCTATCAGTTACATGTAGTTTCCCAATGTTACATGTATGACTAGTCATAAATAATAGGACCTGCCTTTGCGAATAAAGAGTTTATTGTGAAATTAAAAGTAACATTTTATATTCACATACCATCGCAACAAATGTGTATTTCTGTACAACATGCCGAATGGTGCGGAATTCTTCATGCAAGTTGTGATTCCAGACATCTCTAATGCCACATTCCTCATTGCTTGGAATCACAAGATTTGTGTTGGAACTGCCGCCACCACTGGCCTGGCCTAAAACATACGTTGATATACATTACAACCTCTCCTCATTATCAGACCAAATACCCTTGATACGCCGACATCCTGTTGATTTAACTACAATCACTAAATGATTCTTTACAAAGGAAGTTGATATGTTGGGATATACTTAAAATAAATAGCAATGGAGAAGTAAAAATTTAGCTTTACTGCAAAAGAAAATATTTAATTATAAAAATCAACACCTTCTCAGGAGGACCAAAGCACTTGTTCAACTTCATATTTAGAGTTGTTTTGTCTCTGGATCACAGTACAAACTATAAAAGGTATAAAGTTACCTGAGTAAGTTACTGCCAAAGTGATCCTGTTTTTTCCTTACGGATTACGCGTTTCGAAGACTAAATCTTCATCATCAGATCTTGTACAAGAACATATACTATCACTTCGAAAAGGTCGTCAAATGTTTACATACAAAACACGGACACATATTATATACAAATGTTGACATTACGAATAAACTAAGTAGGCCTACCGACGAAAACTTATGATATCCGACCGCACAGTTACAGGTGAAGGTCATGACTGAGATGCGGGAGACGGTCGGGCGGTGGACTTTGTACCTCTCGGTTCCTTATTCATCAGCTGTACTTGGTTTGTTATTAGAGTGTCATATAGAGCATTGGACTGGAAACTGATTTTGTCGTTTAATAATGTGTTAGGTTGAATTTTGGTTGATTTATAAATTTCAAACTCTTCTAAAGCGTCCATAACATTGCCTTTGTTGCAGAAATGTAGAGGGGTTAAATTCGTGTTAAAATTACTGTAGTTATGGTTTTCATTTACAAGATGTAATGCGAAATTGGACTTGAGATTATTACTTGCTTTAGGTAAATGTTCTTTGAATCTAGTTTGAAATGTCCTGCCTGTTTGCCCAATGTAAATTTTGTTGCAATCGTCGCATGATAATTTATATATACCAGTTCTGTCGGCTGTATTGTTAACTCTATTTTGATCAGCATTGTTGATGTTCTTTTTTCTTAATTCGTTTTCTAGAATGTTTGGTAACTTATTACCAAACTCCGAAGTTACGTATACTTTTCTTTCATTGGGTTTAGCTACATTCCTAGTGTTCTTTTTCTTTAATTGTTTTTTAATGATCTTATCTATTATAACGGGATCGTAACCATTTTTATGTGCGATATATTTAATAGTAGTTTTCTCTTTTTCAAAGTTTTCAGAGCTTAGTGGAATTGATAGAAGCCGATGAACGAAACTGTTGTATGCAGCCATTTTATGTTTAACAGGATGGTGTGATGTTTCATGAATTGTAGTATCTGTTAAGGTTGGCTTTCTGTAAATATCGAACGTGAAATGTTTGTCACCTCGTATGATAGTTAAATCCAAGAAATTGAGTTTATTGTCCTTTTCCAGTTCTATTGTAAATTGAAGTTTAGGGTGGATATTATTAATGTATTTATTAAACAGCTGGAGTTGTCTTGTATTGCCGTCAAAAAGTATTGCTATGTCATCAACGTATCTGTGGAAAACGATAATCTTATCTTTATAGCGGTTGTTATCTGTCCAGATGTGTTTTCCCTCAAAATCGTTGAGGTATATTTCAGCTAATATTCCTGATAAGGGTGATACTGGTATATATAAATTATCATGCGACGATTGCAACAAAATTTACATTGGGCAAACAGGCAGGACATTTCAAACTAGATTCAAAGAACATTTACCTAAAGCAAGTAATAATCTCAAGTCCAATTTCGCATTACATCTTGTAAATGAAAACCATAACTACAGTAATTTTAACACGAATTTAACCCCTCTACATTTCTGCAACAAAGGCAATGTTATGGACGCTTTAGAAGAGTTTGAAATTTATAAATCAACCAAAATTCAACCTAACACATTATTAAACGACAAAATCAGTTTCCAGTCCAATGCTCTATATGACACTCTAATAACAAACCAAGTACAGCTGATGAATAAGGAACCGAGAGGTACAAAGTCCACCGCCCGACCGTCTCCCGCATCTCAGTCATGACCTTCACCTGTAACTGTGCGGTCGGATATCATAAGTTTTCGTCGGTAGGCCTACTTAGTTTATTCGTAATGTCAACATTTGTATATAATATGTGTCCGTGTTTTGTATGTAAACATTTGACGACCTTTTCGAAGTGATAGTATATGTTCTTGTACATGATCTGATGATGAAGATTTAGTCTTCGAAACGCGTAATCCGTAAGGAAAAAACAGGATCACTTTGGCAGTAACTTACTCAGGTAACTTTATACCTTTTATAGTATCACTTGTTCAACCTTCAATCGAATGTGAATTAGCAAGCTGTATATACAATTTAGGCACTTTAGAGCTTAGGATATCTCAACAACATGTAAATAATTACAAAAAGCCCAGAAACCGCATTATTTATTTATTTATTTTTTATTTTCTTAAGTTTGAGGACAAGCTGTAATTTTAAACTAATCGGTTTCTATAACTGAACCAAGGTTTATGAGTTGGAAATATCATGACTGTGTAATATCTTATTTTATTGATGTAAAAAACTAAATTATGACGTAACTGTATTCATAGGGTATTACAGTGTTTTTTATGGACCTGTCTTTTTTTCTATACCATGTTGGATTACCCATGTTTTTCGTGGTCTCCCTCCCCCAATTACCCCGGTTGATCGAGGATCTACTGTACTATGATTTGGCACATTTAGCTACATTCGTTTGTTTACAGCATTATAAGTTTAGTGGAAATAACCTTGTATTAAAATAAGACTTTATTTATACCAGAAGAAATACCTGAAATGAAAGGTTTAAAGATTCTCCGCCAAAAATGATTGATTTAATTGAACATTCTTTTTAAAGTTTAACAAGCAATTGGTTAGTAACTTACAAATAAATGTTATTTTTTTTGTTGGGAAGCATAAAATATTCTGACCCTTGTTTTGTTTCATTCTCCTTAGTACCAGCATCTCAGATTCCTCTTCCAGTAACTGGCGAGAACCTCTTGTGCGAAGGAGTGGGGGATTGTGGGAGAGCCCCTCAAGCCAATTTAAGAAAATCTTTAAATTTATTTTATAATTTTTTTGTTAGAAAAATTAACTTTTTAATTAGGCCTATACCTAAAATAATTTTTACATTTTTAATTATAAAACTAATTTTAACTTAAGTTAACCTAACCTAACCAACCAAACTTGCTGATAAAATTAAAAAGATATAAGTTAAGATCAAAATCAAATTAAGGTTTACTTATAATTTTTAATTTAAAATTTTTTATTATAAAATGACTGTCATAACCTAACTGAACCAACCAAACTTGCTGATAATATAAAAAATATCTATATCTATAAAAGAGGAAGTTTGTATGTATATATATATATATCAGGGTGGCTACTCATCCAGGATAATAAATTTCCCTGATAATTCCCTGATTTTTAATGTTAAAACTGTATTTTTCCCTGACTGATCTTAGTATAGCCTACGAATCATATATGAAAAACAACTAACTTTTGACGACCATGAATAAGTTGTTGAATATACATAACTCAACAAAACAGAGTTATGTACAGAGATATGTTTGTTTTGTTGGTGGTAAAAAACATAACTTAATTGAAATTGCTTGTAAAAAGAAAAAATAGGTTATTGATAAGAAAGAATGCTTTCAATGGGCCTAACTTAAAAATATTTAAGGATTTACTCACCCATCATGAGCAACAATGATGATATGAACTGATGCTACACAACCATTGTTATTAAGGTCATGTATGTTATAGGCCTAAAATATAAAATTCAAATATTTTTCCCTTGTACTTTTAATTTACAATCTCCAAAGCTTATTCAAGCTTCATTTCTTGAGTTAGGCTATTGGTCAAATAAATGTTTGACAAAATCTAATATCCGAAAAATACAAAAATCTGTTCATATGTTGAATGTGTATTTACTCTTAATACACAATAAAAAATAAAAAAACACTTTAAAATGTCTGTAAAGGTAAATTTCAAGTTCAGAAGTACCCCATCCCTACCAAATGAATAGATCACCAACCACCAATAACACTTTTTCACTTTATGGATTTAATTTCTTCATTTAAAAGCTCCACTTCTTTTTGATCTTCCTCTAATATTTTTTTCTTTTTCAACTCCAACTCTTTTAACTTAGTCGTTGCAAGTCTTTTCTTCATTTTGTTTTCTGTTTCTTTTTCCTGTTGTTTTTTCTTTTCATTGAGTGCTTCGACATATTTTGAATGAGCATTCTTAGCGGAATTAAAATTCTTGCACTTCGCTACCGAATTATTATTTTCAACTCTCTCTAACCAGGGAGAAAATTGAGGCTCATTAAGCCAATTGAGTTGAAAAGATGTTTTAACACTTTTAGGAGACATTGATGACTATTTCAGAACACATCGAAAGGAAAAAATAGTAAATTTTATCACCACTGAAAATAAAAGAGGAGAATGTTTGATGATGAGTGATGAAGAAATTAATTGTGTCCGACTCCGATTCCGATATTCCACTCCACTCCAATGCCAATGTCCAATACCGAAGACTGGAGTGGAGTGACTAGGCTTTTTTTCAGATTGGCCATTGATTAAAAATCTCCTTGGAAATATAGGCAATGGAACGTTCTGAAATGAATTGAATTGAAATCGAGCAGGCAGGGTACGACTTCAGTTTGAATTGGATCGATATGTAATAGATGCGAGTTCAGTTTTTCATCGGACACGAATATAACACGCACATAGGAATTTATATTCAATGGCACAAGTTGAAGTGGAACGGGTTGAGTTTGAGTTGTTGTTAAGAGGCCGTTAGAATGAAACTGAGTTGTATTTAGATAGACAAATCATTGGTAGAACAAAGACAGATTGCAATAATGAAAGCTAACACTGTAACAAAGATTTATTAATTGAAATTCACTTAAAAAAAATAGAGTGAGAGGCAGGAGGGAGGGAAAGAGAAGATATAGCAACGAAAGTGACCTTGAGGCATACGTAGCGACGTAGCTGTTGCCATGCGAGTGGGCCACTATTCCCCGCGCTGCTACTAGCAGACGAAACCTCTTGTCAACACGATAATGCGGACTCACGGTGGAAACGTATCTACGCAACAACATTCATTCTACTTTAAGTAATGTAAATATTCTATGGTTATACTTTTCTATTGTAATCATCAATATATATCGCCAATCTACTTGTTTAACACAATTCATAAAATGCATATTTTTCCCTGACCGTTTGCAAATTTCCCTGACTTTTCCCTGACTTTTCCAGAATTTTTAATATCCCTGACTTTTCCCGGTTTTCCCGGTCGATCGCCACCCTGATATATATATATATATATATATATATATATATGTTTGAACGTTATGGACTCCGAAACCGCTCGACAGATTGTAATGAAACTTTCAGGAATTATTAAGCATCTTTCAAGGATGGTTTTTGTGAAGTTTGGTGCAGATCCGTCAAAAGGGCTCCGCCCCAGAGGGTTTTAAGTGGGACAATGTCAGACTTTTTGAACTACAATGTTTACAAATAAATATAATTTAAAAGCAGATGTTTTCTTTCACCAACTGTTTTGTAGGTTTGAATAATCACAACGTTCTGTATTAGTCATGATTTGAAATAGTGCCACAATGTTTCTACAGAGTGCAGCACAGAAAACTATTTTACTTTTGAATAAGTCCAAATATATTAAACCTTAATCGCAGCACACCTGTGCACTCAACAACGTTTAAATTCTCCAATGTTGAATATGTAAACATAAAAACCTTGATTAAAGTATTATAAACAATAAAAGGGATGGTAATGCCTTAATATTTTTATCTTTTGTTCTATACCCACACAATCTAACATAAATTATTAAGTGAATAATAATCGTGCGTGCTATCTCAGGTATTCAAATGCCATTACTGGCATTAAAAGAAGGAACTCCATTAATACTAATGCGAAACTTAAATCCACTTAAAAGGAGAAATAGTCTTAATCCCAAGAATACTGATGACTTCATCCAAATTACCCTCTGAATTGAAGCAACTACAATTTCCTTTTTTTGTCTTTCTTTCCCAATCACCATTATAAGGCACTAGGGCAAACCCTGACTATCGTCGGTTTAAATTTTGAAAATGCATGCTTTTCACACGGACAGCTGTATGTTGCGTGCTCACGTGGTGGTAGGTACGTCTAAAAACTTATAGAAAAAACAAAAAAAAATTGTTTAGGCCCTATTCACTGGCAATTAAGTAAAATATTTTATTTTTATTTTTGGTACACACTTTTATTATTCATCGTAAAGAACAAATTACCATTTACAATAATAGTTGTTAAGCGCAGCAACGCGCGCCGGGTAACTGCTAGTATAAAATAAAAATTGAATGAAGGTTTACTAATACAAAAAATAGTTCTTAAAAAAATAAAGTTAAAAGTAAAAAATAAGCATAATCTTGGACAAAAAGTTAGTGTCGCCGGCAAGATTCCAACCGGAGACCCTTCGATTACCAATCTGAGACGCTATCAACTACGCCACGAACACCGATGGAATCTAAGCATCTCGTTACGGTAATGGTGTTCTCTCAAGAGTAAAGTGACGTCACGCCCCCCCACTCCTTCGCACAAGAGGTTCTCGCCAGTTACTGATGAGGAACCTGAGATGCTATACTCCTTAGTTACCAAAAATAACAAAACTCTTTAAACATCTGTCAGCTGATAATTAGGTCTCTGGTCACATCACTGCACAATGCACTTACTTTACATTGTTGAGTGATTTTCAACAACAATCCATGATGGTACAAGAAATCACGGTTTCTTATAAGATTACAAAAATAATAACAAATGGCTAGAGTTGAGGTTGGAGCAATACACTTTTAGACAAGTTTTCTATGTTATCTGCATTTTCTAAATGGAAAAAATTATATTTGTTAACACTTTGTACAGTATCAACCATGGAAGGACTAAACCTCAGGCAAAATCATCTTCACAGGCATCAGAAAATGTGATGGATGAAACCGAAAGTTTAAAAGTCAAATCTCGAATTCCAAAACCCAAAAAGAAACTTAGTTGCATAGTCAAGGCTACAAGAAAATATAGGTAATAATAATAACATTTTTACTATGCAATCGCTGAATGAAATTGACTCCTAACCCTGCATAGCATGAATATAGTCTAGCCTAATTAGTTGATGTTGAACAACAAACACTAAATTAAATTTAAGTCCTAAATCTAACGTAAACATTAGATTAGACCAAAAACCAGACTAATTAAAACATTAAGTTGGTCAATATTCATTTCTGTAAAGTAAAAATATCAATATCTGCATTGTAAATTGTTCTAGTATTAGTTAGTATTTATGATTAACTATTGCAGGTCAGACTATAAATTACTTGTTTCATTAGTACTGCCAAAATCTTTGATTTCAAAACTTTTGAATCTCGAAACTTCTGATCCAATCTCGAAATTGAAGATTTTCCAAAGTTTTGATGGTTTTGAGATTTCGTTTCGACCTATACAGAAACTTAAACAAATCTGGTAATGTCAGGCAAAACAGGTCTTGGGTGGTTTTAGCTCAATTGAGTTCTAATGGAAATTTCTGTCCCACAATGACGACAAAATTGTTTCTATAAGCCTAATAGTTCAAAACTTCAATAACCATTTAAGTTATAAAATATGACTTTGAATTCAAAGGTAGTAATTTTACTAAACATACCAGTGGTGCCGGGGCTGCCTCCTAACTTCTCCAGGAGATGAGTGGCCCAGTTGACATTCCCCTCCCGTTGACCCCCTCCGCTTCCACTTGACCGCTCCAGTTGGATTGATAACTGAAGGACAAATAGAAAGTCATTCTCCTTTGTTAGTTTATATGGATAAATATGTACCTAATGTTTGACAAATAAATCCTATAGACTAATATGTTTTCCATCCTCAACTGGGATGTTTTCCAATCAAGTTACATAACAAGCTACACATGGCAAGGTGGAATACACAGAATTTGAAATGCAATCCTTTGGAAGTAGGTACAGCAAAACCACAACTAACCGAAATAAAAGGGATTCTACCGTTTTGGATAACCTATTTTTTCCAGGTCATCAACGATTGGAATTTTTAAAGGCTATTTCATTTTAAAAAGATCTACAATAGTAGTTTTTCACATTGTATAAATTGATTTTGTCTCAAACATACAACAGTTTTATAGGCTATTCACAAAATCTATTTCACAAAATAATCGTCTATTGTTTTCTAAACGATATCACAGATGATATCGATGTCTCCTCCACTTCATTTTGATGGTCACACCAGTTGTCTAGCTTATTTCCCAATTGATTAAATTTTTTGCTATAGCCTACATGGTTTATGCAAAAACTAGAAATTAAGTAGGCCTAACATACTTTAGAATTACAAGAATTTATAATTAGGATTTTGGGCCTAGTAAATTTAATACTTTGCATTGTTAAAACAAATGGATTTAGTAACCTTCAGAGCTTACACTGATGCTTAGTGCTTCACAAACAATGGCAATGACACCAATGAAGCAGTTGTGACCTATTTTTCTACTAGAGGCTTGGAAGATGTTTACTTAGCCCGGTTTTAGTTTGAAAACGGTTAATTAAACAAATTAATACTACCTCTAGATTAACTCTATGAATTACTATAAAATGTCAAACACAGTTTATTCTACATCATCTTAATAATGCAAAACAATTTAACTCGATGATTTTAATTTCAGTGTTGGCTCAGTTTCATTCATAAGATGCTATAAGAAAAATTGAAATATTTTGCTTACTACTTTGATAGGCTAACATTTTACATGATGTTGAACAAAGAAAAGTTCATAGTTGGATGGTTCATGGCAGTAGCGGTTCTAGGACCTTGTCAAGGGGGAGGGGCTAACGAGGGTCTTCCACACAAGAATGAAGAAAGGGAGTCCGGGGATTATCCACTAGTGTTATAAACTATTTATTTTATAGGGTAAATGAAATTACAGTACCTTATCTGTTAAGTTATTATGTTCCCAAAAACTATTTCCAATTCCTACGGGCTTGAGATCTGTGTCTGGAACTACTTTCATTGAAGATAATTCTGAAACGAAAGTAAATAAAATGTTAAAATAAGTTAATTACTGGGAAAGTTGTTCTTGGTTCTGCATTATGTAGACCAGTGTTTGATTTGTAAAAAAATAGGTGCCAGAAATGTAACCTATTTAATGTAATTTGTATCTATGTATGTACCAATGTATGCCAATATTTTTATTTTTCCGAAAGGATAAAACCGGAACTCCGATCCGCCGCGTTCCCCCACAAATCAAGCACTGATATTGACCTAGTATAAATTAGTATACAATTAAGTTAAGGGTTTAACTCTTCCCAAACGGGTGACAGATAGCCTTTTTGGTATTGAAGGTTGGGCGATATACAGGGTGAATTTTAAATGAGTTCCCCCCCTACTTTTTTCTACATTTCTTAAGATATCAACTTCGGACCACGTCAGATCATTGTAGTGTAGTAAGTACTTCATTTTGACTGGATAAACATTTTTGGCCGCCATCTTGGATCCGCCATATTGGATACAATTTTTTTTTTTCAAATGTAAAGGTAGGGTTGTGACCCATTGTTTCAAACTAGAATTTTACGCTGATTACAATGCCGCAATTAGTTTTGAAAAATCTTGATCCGTTCTAAAGTTATGAGGACTTTTTATAACTTTATTTTTAGCCCAATTTAACATTGTGCATTTACAAACTAAGACCATAATCTCAAAATAGTGCTAGATAAAGATAAGTATACACCACCATTTATTGTTGACCTATTATCACTTGGTTATGACGGATGTATTTTTTTGGCCGCCATCTTGGATCTGCCATTTTGAAATGTGATAAATTAATTTAAATATGAAGGTGGTGTTGTGACCCATCATTTCAGACTACTTTTTTATGCTGAATTCAATGCCGCAATCCGTTTTTGTTTCTCAGGCTTTTTTGATGAAATATTAAAATTATCTTACTTAAATTTCCAATATTTCAAAAAACAAATATGAAAATGCAAAACGGATTGCGGCATTAAATTCAGCATAAAAAAGTAGTCTGAAATGATGGGTCACAACACCACCTTCATATTTAAATTAATTTATCACATTTCAAAATGGCAGATCCAAGATGGCGGCCAAAATAATACATCCGTCATAATCAAGTGATAATAGGTCGACAATAAATGGTGGTGTATACTTATTTTTATCTAGCACTATTTTGAGATTATGGTCTTAGTTTGTAAATGCACAATGTTAAAATGGGCTAAAAATAAAGTTATAAAAAGTCCTCATAACTTTAGAACGGATCAAGATTTTTTTAAACTAATTGCGGCATTGTAATCAGCGTAAAATTCTAGTTTGAAACAATGGGTCACGACCCTATCTTTACATTTGAAAAAAAAATATTTGTATCCGATATGGCGGATCCAAGATGGCAGCCAAAAATGTTTATCCAGTCAAAATGAAGTACTTACTACACTACAATGATCTGACGTGGTCCGAAGTTGATATCTTAAGAAATGTAGAAAAAAGTAGGGGGGGAACTCATTTAAAATTCACCCTGTATATAAATATATACAGGGTGTTTTTTTTTTTAACTTGCATTTTTATTTATGTACCCTTATGAAAAAGTTTATATATGGCCATATAAAATTTTTTGTATCTGGTTATATTTGGTTTTGGACCAAATATAACCAGATATGATCATATATGGAAATCTTTAAATAAAAAAAAAATAATAAAAAAATAACAATTAAACATATTTTCACATCAAATGGTATAAACTATGCATTAAAACCATGATAAAAATTTTTTATACGAAAATTTCAAAACAAAATTTACTAACAGCCATCTAGGATTCGAACCCAGGACTCCAGCGTGGGAGTCGGCCCCTTTAACCACTACACCACAACCGCTTCATATCAGTTGACTCAACAAAACCCATTACGAATAAGAGAAGCTGTATTTGGTCTCGTAAAACAAGATTTTCTTAGACATTTTATGTCATTTGAAGAATGTTATCATTAAAATAGCCTAACTACGTGACATTGATATTTGCGGCTGTTTAATAGCAAAGGTACAATTAATTAATTATTAATATAATATTCTCCTTATTTAGGCCACTACACTTACAATTTTAAAATTATACGTCAGTTTAGAGATTTTGTTGCGTTATAATAAAATTGTACAATAGATGTATGTACAGGATTTTGTCATCTGGGTTCAAATCTGGACACTTTATTACTTTACTACTAATTACTTTAAAGGAGAAATGCCTATATTATCTGCCCCCTTACTGTACCACATTTCAACTCAATCAGTTCAGTAGTTTGTGCTTGCGAGAGCAACAAAACTATTATATATTATAAGAAGTGTTTGGGATTCCAGTTACAAAACCCAAATGTGGCAACAATTCCTTATAATAATTCCAGTTATTGTCAAAAACTCATTTATACATGAGCATAAATGGAAAATTATTATTCCATATATGAGTAATTTAATTCCATACCTGGGAGTCATATATGGCCATATATAGACAATAATTCCATATTGGAGGATATTTATGGCCATATATGGACAATCATTTCATATATAGAAAACATGTATGGCCATATATGGACAATCATTTCATATATGGAAAACATGTATGGCCATATATGGCCAATAATTCCATATATAGACTACATATATGACCATATATGGACACCCCCATATATGGATACAACCACATCTGGCCATATCTGCTTCCATATATGGCCATAAAAAACCATATATGGCTTTATAAAAACATACATGGAATTTTGATATGGCCATATATGGCCAGAAATTACTTTTTTATAGGGGTAAAAACCGCAATAGATAGAAATATGCAGTTTGCGGGAATCATCTATGTTACATTCACGTTCCCCCCTGCCCACAACTTATTTTTTTTAAATAGCAAGGTACCGGTACCCTTTGTGACATATCAAATGTAAGAGCATGAAAAAAAATAGAAAATCAGCTCATAAATTTGTGAGATATTTCACCCCCTTTCTCTCCCTACCCTTAACTTAAAATTTTGAAATTGCGAGATATCCCTTGTGACATATCAAATGAAAGAGCACGAAAAAAGAAAATGTTTAGTGAAAAACATTTTAAAATTTGCTGATAAATTTGTGAGATATCCCCCCCCCTCCGCGGAACTTATTTTTTTTAAAAAGCAAATTTAAAAAAAAATTAAGTTCCGGGGAGAATATTTTCTTTTTTCATGCTCTTTAATTTTTATATGTCACAAGGGATATCTCGCAATTTCAAAATTTTAAGTTAAGGGTAGGGAAAGAGAAAGGGGGTGAAATATCTCACAAATTTATGAGCCAATTTTTCAATTTTTTTCACCAAACATTTCCTTTTTTCATGCTCTTTTATTTAATATGTCACAAGGGGTACCTTGCCATTTAAAAAAATTAAGTTGGGGGCAGGGGGGGAAAGGGGGGGGAATGTGAATGTAACGTTGAATTCAAAACAATTGGGCCCCCTACGTCAATAGATGATTCCCGCAAACTGCATATTTCTATTTATTGCGGTTTTTACATAAATAAAAATGCAAGGTTAAAAAAAAAACATCCTGTATATATATCTGCATAATGTTTAATGAGGTTCGGACGGGAATCAATTATTCCGCCAATTCAGTTGACTGGTTGGTGTTTGTACAGTAACCAACAAGTTTGCATCACTGTGGAACTACTTTCCCTCTGCAGAAGTACTGTCATTGAACTTGTATGTGGCAAACCGCCCTTTCTTGAAAAATCTTGAATGTCTTCCTCGGACTTATAGACATCATCTTTGACTCCTTGGGTCACAGAAAATCATAACCGCCCTCCACGATCGTGGTTGATGTCTCTAGTGAGGTTGTTGTCCCTTGTCCCTTCAAGGGCCTTAACATTCATAGGCCAATAAAATTACAATTTGCTTTTACAAAACACAAAAAGATTAACATCTAAACAAAAAACAGTTTCAATAGTAGGCCTATTTAATTCATATATCAAAGCATTAAAATATTTGAAAAATTTCCATTTTTAATCTTCTTTGACTATAGGAAGCATTCACTTTAGCAAGATGGCAGCGAGGACCATTCTTGTTTGGAATTTATTGTTGATTAGATTTGTAAAAGTGTAAAAATAACACATTCTGTGCCTAGTTTCGACACACTGAAAATAAGTTAGGACCTAAAAAGGCTTGAAATTGTTATTTCGTTGCTTAACCCAAAATTTCAATAGCGCAAAAAAAGTCTGGATGAAACGTAGGCCTAAATAAAGTGAAAAGTGTAATCAGATATTTTTAAATTACCGAATCAGGTTTTCAAGTTGTCACTTCGAAGTTGCTTGTCGTGATTGAACACTATCAACTGTAGTTCACCCACTTTCACCCACACTTCGTTCCACTTGTAAATATCATCCATCCTACCTTATTTATTCAAATATTGTACACTTTAGCGGTCATATATTAAGTAATACGAGCTGTTGGCCCGTCCTACGTACGGGAATCAAGTAGTCCATTAAAACTGTATATAGTTAAATCAATATTTCTGTTCCTAATTCAAGCATAGTTCAAGCAGATCAAAATTTATTGTAAAGAAAAAGCTGCCAAGATGAATTAAAACAAGTGATAGTTGTTATTTCCCAACCTTTCCTCAAAAATTGAAGTAGCAAAAAAGTATTTTCTTAAGCTTTCTTTTGAAAACTGTAGCTTCAATTCGTATACAGCAATGGTTATATAATCTTACTTATTTCCTATAATCAATGACAAAATCACGGAGTAAACAAACTAACCTCATAGTTCTATACAATATTCAATATTTTTATATTCAACCAGGTGCTAGGCTAGTTGTAACAAATTATATTGCACTAAAACAAACTAAAGATTTTAAAGACTGCTCAAAAAAAAAATTAGAACATCTAGTACATTATTATGTGCCTATATTAAAATAATCTGTCATCCTCTTACCGAATAAATGAACATAGGCCTATCAATGATCATAGCATTACACATCCTAGTATAAATAAATCAACCCTACGTATGTCATTTAATTTTTAGACAAATGCTGAATTTGTGTCGCAAACGCTGAATGTTTACAGCTGATTACGTTAGGCAAATGGTATTATAGCAAAAGCTAGTCTAGAATGTTTACGCCGGCTGCTAGATAAAAAAAAATTAAAACTTAATTTCTAAAAAACTGAAACCCTAAACTAAAATTAGGGCTTATATATTCCCTAGTTCTCAAAATGATCTTTCTTTCAACACAAAATTCCGTCAAGTGGTTGATTCAGAATCGTGAAATAAAAAAACCCCCTCACTGTGGCACGCACTCATTTCGAGGTCATTGCCCAACCCCAAAATTTTAACGAAATAAATAACTTACAGTAATTTGTAAACATATTTCATTTGTATTTTATTTAGCCTGAAATCAGCCGTAAAGAAACGCATTAATATAAAAAGTGATAATAGACCGATAAAATATAGCCTATATTTTACTACGGTTACGATTACTAAGAATTCATAAATAAACAGATAACATATATTTTTCTTAATTTGGTAATTACAAATAAATAATACAATGACGTCATATTCACTTCCTGAAGATTGTCAACATTGTACTGGTTCACATAAACAAACACTCAACGCTCTCTCTCTTTTCTTTGCAAGGTTATGATGCGCAAAAGATTACTGCGCAACGTAATCTCGGGGTCTCGTAAGGGTCTTATCGCACCTGGGTAATCATAGCGGACGATACCTATAGATCTCGTAACGCAACATTGGAATAATGCAGGAAAATATACAACGCAGTGAACGTGTTAAGTCAGGCCTAAGTTGAACAGTTTAAGGAGTCAAAAGTTAGCTTTCACTTTGGATGTTGAGGTTTATTAGCTCTTATTGCACACTAGGCATAGGGCTAACCTACTTATCAACTGGCACCAAAACAAAAATCAGTTTGTTGACAAGATTAAAAATGATTTTTGTGTCTAAGCCCTATATTATTTTAGATATACCATAGGCCTAGGCTAGTTTTTTAAAAAGTTCTTACCTCGGCATAAAAGTGTAAAATAAATAGGCCTAACATTGAAAACCAAGAAGGCATTTAACTTAAACCTACATTACACTAAGAATGGGCCTGCCACCTCTTTAGACCTGAATTTTGCCTCATAGACTTACAAAGGAAAATCCTGTGCATGTCCTTGCAAAATGCACGTCAATTCAGCATTCAATATTTATTTTCGTAAACCCATGAACTATATTTGAGCACGGTAAAGCACAAGTTTCTTAATAAATCTTCACCAATAACTATTACTATTACTCGGACTCGCATCCATCGCTCACTTCGCTATGCAAGCAAATGCAAATGCAATGCATCATTTATGCAAGATGAGTAAGTTAAGTAAGTGATACCATTGACTATAGTAACGATTCAACCAAAACCAACATTCAACTCACTCACTCATTCTTCTTCAGTCTAGTCAAGTCGAGCAAAAACCTTCTGCTTCTGCCTCTGCCTGCTGCGGTACGATGCCATAGCTTATAATGTCATAGCTTATAATTGCGAATATGTTGCATAGCTTATAATCTTGAAAATGTGGCATAGCTTATAATGTTATAGCTCAAATGTGCTGCAGCTTATAAAATGTTGAAAATATGGCATAGCTTATAATCAGTTATAAGCTATGCCACACTTTCACGAAAAATTATAAGCTATGCCCCAAAATCAGAATTATAAGGTATGACTCAAAATCAGGATTATAAGCTATAGAACAGATTCGGAATTATAAGCTGTGCCACTATTTGACCATTATAAGTTGTGAAACTGAAAATGTTGCATACCTTATAACGTTTTAGAGAAATTGTGGCATAGCTTATAATTTTTCGTGAAAGTGTGGCATAGCTTATAACTGATTATAAGCTATGCCACATTTTCAACATTATAAGCTATGGAACAAATTCACGATTATAAGCTATGACATTATAAGCTATGAGACCCCACGAGCCCATCAACTGGAGCATTGTAAACCTCTGTTCAGCATGGTATAATGCCTGTACACATTGTATTTATTTACAAATGCTTGTTAGAGATTAAAAACAATGAAGCAGCGTTTCCTTTGGTTAATAATGTACATAATTATAGCACTAGGAACAATGAAAATGTTTTTAGAGATAGAGTTAGACTAGATTTAACTCTCAATTGTTTTCCTGTTGCAGGAATAAAATAAGGTTCTACAATACCTTACCCATAACTGTCAGACAACTCTTACCGAACAAGTTTGCGACCACACTAAAAGCTTGGATGCTTGCCAATCCATTTTATTCCATAAAAGAGTTTTGCTGGTATGCACAGCATGTTACTATTGGGTCGAACCCACAGTGTAGTCTGTCAGTCTTACGGTTTACAAAATTGTAAAATAAATTTTCTCTGCATTGCATGGCTTGCAGCTTTTTGTGTTATTTTTCATTTTTTGAGCGGAGCGAGCGAAGCGAGCGAAGCTCTTATACGTCGACTTTTATGCATTTCGTAATACGCAAACTCCTCCTAGACGGCTGAATCAATCGTTTTCAAATTTTGCATGGTGATAAAGATCATATCGGTGAGTGCCAACATCTATATGGCGTTAAAAAAGTCTCTCAGGAATCCGTAGAAAAATGAAACTGAAAATCACATTTTTTAACATTAGTCTTATGGGTTGCTAGGTAACCATGTTGGCTGAATTAAATAACAAGTAAAAAGTAAACAAAAGATTTGAAGTTTTAGCATGTGCTCATAATAAGCCAACTACCCACAGTATACTAGGAAATAACAAATACAGTACAAAAGGAAAAACATCACTTGTTAATATTGAGCAAAGATTATACTTAAGATTACTCGATACATTGTAGTCAAGGGTAGCAGTGCGAAGTCTAGAATCTGTTTATGACGAATTCATTAAGGTATCTGCAATCCTAAAATGCTATGGGAAGGGAAGGAAACAGGTCCGTGACGTAGGAAGTAGTGAAGGAAGTAGTATAGGCAATCATAAAATGCTATGGGAATAGAGGGAAACAGGTCCGTGACGTAGGAAGTGATGAAGGAAGTAGTAAATGCGAGCAGTCCGGAGTGTGGGGACTGTTTATGACGATAAGATTAGGGTATCTGCAATCCTAAAATGCTATGGGAAGGGAGGAAAACAGGTCCGCGACGTAGGAAGTGGTGAAGGAAGTAGTCAAGGCGAGTAGTCCGGAGTGCGGGAACTGTTTATGACGATTAGAATAAGGTATCTGCAATCTTTAAGTGCAATAGGAAGGGAGGGAAACAGGTCCGCGACGTAGGAAGTGGTGAAGGAAGTAGTCAAGGCGAGCTGTCAGGAGTGAGGGAACTGTTTATGGCGATTAGATAAGGGTATGGGCAATCCTAAAATGCTATGGGAAGGGAGGGAAACAGGTCCGTGACGTAAGAAGTGGTGAAGGAAGTAGTCAAGGCGAGCTGTCTGGAGCGTGGGAACTGTTTATGATGATTAGATTAAGGTATTTGCAATCCTAAAATGCTATGGAAAGGGAGGAAAATAGGTCCGCGACGTAGGAAGTGGTGAAGGAAGTAGTCTAGGCGAGTTGTCCGGAGTGTTGGAAATGTTTATGACAATTAGATTAAGGTATAAGCAAACCTAAAATGCTACGGGAAGGGAGGAAAACAGGTCCGCGACGTAGAAAGTGATGAAGGAAGTAGTCAAGGTGAGCTGTCCGGAGTGTGGGGACTGTTTATGACGATTAGATTAAGGTATTTGCAATTCTAAAATGCTATGGAAAGGGAGGAAAATAGGTCCGCGACGTAGGAAGTGGTGAAGGAAGTAGTCTAGGCGAGTTGTCCGGAGTGTTTGAAATGTTTATGACAATTAGATTATGGTATCAGCAAACCTAAAATGCTACGGGAAGGGAGGAAAACAGGTCCGCGACGTAGGAAGTGGTGAAGGAAGTAGTCAAGGCGAGTAGTCCGGAGTGTGGGAACTGTTTATGACGATTAGATTAAGGTATCTGCAATCTTTAAATGCAATGGAATGGAGGGAAACAGATCCATGACGTAGGAAATTGTGTAGGATGTAGATGTGTGGATTTATGCATCTCCAATACTACGGTGCTTTCAGAGTGAACTGAAAGCACTCTGAAGCATTTCACTCAGAGTGAAATGATTTTCCCCGAGCAAAGCTCGGTCCCCAGGTACTATAATCAAATGACGACACTAGCTTGAGGTTCGTGACGTATGAAGAGGTTAAGGAAGTAGTAAAGGTGAACAGTCTGGAGTATGGAAACTGTTTATGACGATTAGATTAAGGTCACAACGTTCCTAAAATGCTACGGAAAGGGAGGGAAACAGGTCCGCGATGTGGGAAGTGGCGAAGGAAGTAGTAAAGGCGAGCTGTTCGGAGTGTGGGATCTGTTTATGACGATTAGATTCAGGTATCTGCAATCTTAAAATGCTATGGGAAGAGAGGGAAACAGATCCGCGACGTAGGAACAGGTGAAAGAAGTAGTAAGGTGAGCAGTGTGGAGTGTGGGAACTGGAAACCGTTTGTAGCAGTTTTAATGTATCTGCAATGCTGAAATGCTATGAGAAGGGATGGAAGCATGCCCAAGACATAGGAAATTGTGAAAGAAGTAGTAAAGTCTAGCAGTACGGACAGTGGGGATGTTTGTTGCAATTAGATTAACGTATCTAAAATACTAAAATGCTATGGAAAGCGATGAATACAGGTCCACGACGTAAGTGGTGAAGGAAGTAGTAAAGGCTGGCAGTGCAGAGTGGGGGAACCGTTTGAGCAGATGGATAAATGAATTTGTAATACTTAAATGCTATGAGAAAGGAAGGAAACAGGCCAGTAGGAAGGAGACGTAGTAAATGGTGAAGGAAGTAGTAAGGCTAACAGCGCAGAGTGTGGGAACTGTCTTTGGCAATTTAATTAATGTATCGGCAATCCTAAAATGCTATGGGAAGAGAGGGAAACAGGTCCACGACGTAGGGTGTGGTGAAGGAAGTAGTAAAGGTGAGCAGTGTTGAGTTTGGGAATGGATTAATGTATCTGCAATGCTAAAATGCTACGGGAAGAGACTGTAGACTGTAATATGTTAAAATGATTACGAAGCACAAATCGATACATATTTTCGATACATGCAATCGTTTACAATCGAAATTTACAACTGAGTTGACAACAACTGATTTTTACTCCATAGAGGCTAAAAACGATTTTTACTCCCTAAATATTAAAAATGCTACTTTAGACCCGCAGCGCATGCATGAAAAAATACTGTTTTTACTGCAGTAAGACAAAAACAATATAATATGAACCCTTGATGACTCCGCTCAATTTTGTGGATGCCTCTGCGAACGCCACCTAGTAGTACCTATGCATACATTGCTTTGCATGGTTTGTAATGAGTGAGCTCCTGCATGTTTTAGCGAATTTCCCTATAGGGAAGTAGCTATTACCGTAGGTCTCATGGTAAGACCTAAGCCCGGGACCGATTTACTTTTTCATTTTGATGTCCCCAGAGGCCAAAAACACCATTCGTTCAAATGTTTATATATATATATATATATATATAAAACCATATATATATGTGTGTTTATATATATATATGTCCATCCGCACGATAACTTGAGTAATTTTTGTCCGATTTTGATCAAATTTGGTTTGAAGGTGTAAGGCGGGATAAACTTGAATGAGTTCGCGAACCAGCATGATCGGACTATGGGAACGGGGGTTTATGGGGGGTTTTATGGGGTAAAAATAGGTTTTCCCCATTTTTGACCCTAAAAACACAAAATTTCACAATTTCTTTTTAAACCATTTTGTAGAGCTTAAAAAAACAAATAATTTAGTATATTGAAGCATTATTATGCGCCTAATTGTTACGGAGAAAATTCAAAAAAATTGTAATTTTAAAATTCCCATGTTATTCTTATGGAGAATAAGTCAACTGTTGTAGTTTGCTTCTTTATGAACATATTTTGATAAAAGTTGGAAAATACATTAATTTCTTACTAAACCACAGTACCTTTTAATATTCTACATAAAAAAAAAACTTTTTTACCCTCCCTAGTAGAGGCAATATGATGGTTTAACGCCACTTTAGGCACGTTTTCCCCATAAGAATAACATGGTGAGCTTTTTTTGACCACTTTTTTAAAAATCCAGCTCTCGGCCTATACAAGCCTATATAAATGTTCAATACCATTGTACAACTCCATTACTATTTCAAATCCACATCCATTCTCAAAATCGTGCGAGGTTTGTATGCGAACTTGGGCGCGCTCCCGGCTCATGTCGCGCTCCCTTGGACATCCTTAGTGGAAATCCATGAATTCTGGCTACTTGGGAACCCAAGCCA